TAACCATGTCCCTCTTACAGGAAAATTACTGTCCACCAACATAAGGCACCAAGGAAAAAAATGGTGAAGATAATTAAGTGCTGTAAAAGACTGCTTGGGCAGGTTATGGAGTCTTTGTCAGACCAAGTAGGAATGATTGCATTAGGGGATGGATTTTGTGTTTGTATGACTTCCTATATTGTATGAAAAAGAAGAAAACAACTTACCTTCTGCTATGACTGCAGTTGCTTTGTCTTCAGTGTTCACCTCTGAATTACCTATCTTGGATATTTGTAGGCATGATAAAACCATAAAATGCAAACTGTGGCTTTGTAATACATGAGACAGGATACAAGAGGAAAGGAAGATAAACTATATGTACTTAGTTTTAAAGAAAACACTGAATTAACTATTTTGATTTCACACTGAAAGCACATGGGGTTTTGTGGGGTGAGCTGCCTGCCAACCAGCATGAATCAGCAGGTGGCCAGAGGAGGAACCCTGATGGTTGTTCCGTGGGTGCTGAAGCAGCTCAGCAGCTGTGAGGCCAAGGCTGTTCCCTCTTCTTTCACACTTGTTCACTGGAGAAAAGAAGGGAAGGGAAAGTACAAAGCAACGGGAAGAGATGGTAGAGGGCATCACTTCTGGGGGGACCGTACTTATGCGATATACAAGATTAGGCAGCAGGGCTGGTGTTAAGAGTTGCCTGTCTTATCCAGGCCTGTTGTTTCATCCCTGAGAACACAGTTGTGCAGGTACAACTGCTTGCTGGTTCTCAACCAGTAAATATAGGCAGGTGAAAATTATCTCAAAAAGAGCTTTAAAAAAGGAGGATCATTTGCTCCAGCTCAGGAGCAGAGATCTCGTCTCTTGGTTAAGTTAACCATATTGAAGGAGCAATAAACTGTGTCCAAGGATAGGAAGAAATGGCTAAGGATTTCCTTACACGTGCAATGATGAATCCCTTCTGTAGTGGTACTGCAGCTGGATGGTGTGACTCTTTTTCTCTTGAACTTTAATTTTATACATTCTGTATTTTAGTTTTGCAGAGCCTCATTTGCACATTATTTTAGCATTTAAAAGAAAACACTTGCTTGCTTTTGGCCCAGCTGACTGTGGGCTTGTTCAGCTTTCTTTATCACATATTTTGGCAGTTTAATAAAATTCAGTGTTTGTTGAACAATTTATTGCTGTAAATGCAATTGCAATGAAACAGAAAGCCTCCAGACATTACTGAAATATTACAAACCACCAAGCAATATGTATAAGCCTCAGAAATAGTGTTCCGTGATCTCAAAATTGCAGGCAGAAAAAGCTCCAATTAAATCAATACTTAATTCAGCAGAAAAATCTATGTCTTATACACTACCAGACTTAGAATTTATCAGGGATAACATCTGCCCTACAGATCAGCATCTTCTTCAGTGAAGTATTGCAACAGTAGGAGCACTTCCAGTCTGCAGAATAGCACGTGAGTTAGCAGGTGACTTCTTGAAAGGGTAACTATGTGTGGCATGAATGTGAACACATACATACTTAGAGTGCCATATGGGCTATATTTATTTGATGTATATATTCAGAGGAGAAAGAAGTATATGTGTTACATTTCATATAATAAAACAGGTGTTGTTGCTTTTTGTAAAACACTTTTTGTCCTTCTCATGCTTTTCTGTAAAAGCAGAAAAAGTAAGCAGGAAAAAAATGTGAAGAATTTCAATAACAAAAGGTGCTATAAAAGTGCTATTGACCATAAAGTGATCCTGAAAAAATTGTAATTATTATACACTAAAGTTCCAGTGTGACTTTCCTAATTTCCCTAGTCTCTTGAACTAGGACCTGCATTGCCTTTGGGAGCCCTTTCCAGATTTTCAGATCAGCTAATGAGTTCATCAGTATCCAGATATTATTCCAATAATAAAAAAAAATTGCCTCCAGTTTCCCATATGTTGCAAAAAGGTAAAGCAGGTCATCATCATATGCATAGTATTTATAGTATTGGCATTCAAGTGACTCTGGAAACCATGCCTTCTTGTCTCCATACTTCCCAGTGAATAATCCACCACCATTCTGCAACCATTACAGGCTATAATAGTATGTACTGGGTGGATACACTTTGTGTATATTTGGCTTCTTAAGTCCTGGCAGGAGAAGCTAGATGGAATTCCTCAAAATAACAGGAGGCACCTGCACCCTATTGAGAATGTTATTAGTGGGAGAGAATAAAGATCTCAGCTTGTCCAAGGGTCTGTGTGTCTTATCTGCTTCAAACACAGATGGTGTGTATCTTGCCAATGCCTCCCAGGCTGGCGCTCATAAGCTTGCTCCATGGTCCTCAGGGCTCTTAAAGAACCTCTTACAGGTCACTTATTCACTGGCTTCCTTGGTGAAAGGGCAAATAGTATATTTGTACCATCTATGACCTTACTGCAGTTTGTAAGCCCTGTCCTCTGAAAGCCAGAATCCAGTATTTATTGCTCAGAGGTTAACAACTTTCAAAACAGCATCACAAATCTGTACTAATACACGCAAGGGCTTTTCAAGAACAGATGCAAGCTGTGATTGACGTTCAGATCATGATCTTCTGCTAGCATAAGCCCTCTAACTTGTGTGCTTTGATAGTAGAGTGATGGGTAAATTTTGTAGGTTGACTAAGGGATAGCAGATCATTTGGGGCAACTGATTTTCCAAATCTCTCACATTTTGTCACTGTGCTCCAGATCTTCTGGCCTTGAACATCTTGGAAAATTAACTAAAGTTGTTCATCTTCTCTCTGACCATCTGCTTGCCTCACACACATTTGGTCCACATTTTAAGAAATTCTTCTGATGGATCTGTGGTTGTTGCTTCATACCACCCGACTATTTTTTGTCCTTTGATTTACAGCACTTCTAGGAATATTTTCTTTAAGATGATACAATCATTTCACATCTTTTGTAACAGGAACCTTGCCATGGCGTTTCCAAAGTAAAGAATAGGCTGTGGACTTTTTCTGGTCCCACGAGGATCCTTTTGCCTGCTGGCCTTCTCTTCTGAGGCTTGAAACTAACTCACCTTTCAGTTCTGCCCTTCTGCTCTCTGCCATTGCATACCTATTAATCTTTAACAAGGGCTCCTCTGTAAGGCAGACCTGCCTTTTCTTAGCATGGATCTTAAGTTCCATTTTTTCTATTTTCCCAGCTTTCTGAGTATCATTCTGCCTTTTGTTCTTTCCAGTGATCTCCTAAATATCATCATGACTTCTACTTAAGCTGTGACCGTTGACTGTCTCCATCTATTTTTCTTCTCTATGTCTTGATACAGAATCTCCTTTCTCTTCCATCTTTTATTTCTCCTTTTCATTCTACCATGAAGGAAATACGTTAATAATTCTCCTTTTTCTTCTGGTCATTTGATGGGTTACTCTTAACACTGACAGATCAATTTTTCAGGTCTCATCAATACGTATCTGCAAATCTTTTTCCTCTCCTCTTTTCCATTATGTGACTCTCTCAACTTCACTGTGGACTCCAGACACGTTCCTGGATCCTCTCTTTCCTGAGGCCTGTGAGATGACCCAATATGGCACAAAATGCTGTTGAATGCTCAGTGGTAACATTCAACCCACAACTGTTTTGTGCAGATAATCTTAATTATCTCTTCCACTTCTCTAGCAGCTACTGTCTTCTCTTCACCCAGTAAAAAACCCACCACAGCAATGGCAAAAACCAGAACCTCTCCACACCTTTCCCTCTTTCTATTGTCTGCCTGCTGTTGTCCTTAGTTAAAGGACTCAGGAATTGACGAATTAAGTTTTAAGTTTCCTTGATTCAAAATAAATGTTTCACTTTGGAAATAAAACATTTGACAATGGCAAATCTAAAAGTTGCAGAGCTTTTCCATCCACGAAAACATTAACGGTGATAACCATACCAGTTGAGTATAAAAATGGACCACTGATAATCTGAATTTCCAGCCTGTCCTACAATGAGGCCCTGTTATTACAAGGAAGGGACTTTCATGTATCAGGGTCCACTTAAGTGTCCGACGGAGTTTGCCTGGATTAAATCCTGAGGGCCATTGAGGAATTCCCTGTTCACCTATGGAGGAGATCCTACATGCTTCCTAAATGTGTCCTGATTAGCTTCTACACTGCTTACCGTGTGTGCACAGCCAGAAATCAGAGGGGTATCTTCCCTCTTTATATTTCACACCACACTTAAGTAGCCCCAGCTTTATAACAGCCCAGTTGCAATAATAACAAATTGTATGAGATGCTGATAAAATGCATGTTAGTATATACTTCTTTGCAGCTACTGTACATATGGATGTATATTACTTCATTTTTCATATAGAGGCTGATAAACATGAGGAAGTATTTACTGAATTCCCTAACAAGCTACTTTTTATGCTGAAATACATCTGCAGGCATCTCTTTGGTCTTTTGTCACATCTCACAAGTTTTTGGTAAAGGCCAGTAGCACAGAATGGAAGTGAATATTATGCCTTTCCAAAACTGTATAAGCATACATCCAACTTACAAATTCAAGGGCATAGTCTCTGATCAGATAATTTCACACACGTACTACTTTTGTTTTGTGTCCTAAATAATAAAAAATCAGTTACATTAATACCATTGTGAGAAGATCAAGCAAAAACACAACCAAGACCTACCTAGGTTTTAATGACATTATGCTAGAAATGTGAGTTAAAAGTGCATTATTTTTCCTTTAAGTCCAATGATAAAGTCTACTGTCTTTTTTTAACTAAATACTTCCCCTGCATTTCTTTTTTATTACTCATTTGCTCTTCCATGAAACTTCAATTTTTGGAAAAGACAGCAGTGAATATAAAAATGCATGGTGTGTCCTTAGAGGTGGGTAAGCAGAACGCTGGTGTAGGATCTGTAAAAATTAACATCTTGAAGGACACCAAAATTAATTGCATATGGTCACTTTTAAAATTTCTGCTTCACTCATCTCCAGGTCTTAAATCTTAATATCGCCAGATGATTGTGAGTGGCTGTGCATCTAGACTTACCAGGGAAACCAAACACTTCTATAACCACATAAAATAATCAACTGCCTTTTGTCTAACTACAACTTTTCTCAAAAGGATCAAAGTATAAGGGAAGTTTTAATCTCAAGCTGCACTCCAGACCTACCTCAAACAGCTTTGACGTCGACAGCCCTTCCTTGCAGAACAACTGCTTGTCTTCCAGCTTCTGAAAGTAAGCTGCAGATGGAAACTTTGACCAGGGAGAAACGCAGCTTATGTGCTGAAATTGCTTATTATGGAAACCCAGAGAAACTGTGCATATGTCTTTAGCCTAGTTCCACAGGCAAGAGGGAAAAAATAGTGAGTATATACATTTTAACAGCCCCTCTCAAGCATAAGAAACTATACTGTGTTGTCATTTGCACTCATAACATCTCTTGAAGAACTGGCATCACAGAGAGCTGATGGCTAGATCACCCCTAACTATAATAACAACCATCTGTAGGAGAGAAGAATCTCCATGATACTCCTACAATGGAGTTGTCACTAGTGAATGAATCACAGGACCTGAACTCAAACTCAGATGCCAGGGTGCGAGAGCTTTCTGGTGAAAGCCCACTTGTAGAGAGAATCAAGAGGGTTATTGAAACTTCATGTACTTTGGTAATACAAAAAAAGCTCATGCATGTAGGTGATGCTGTTTGGACTGTCATATTCTGTATCCTGAAATTCTTGGTGAGAGAACTGGGTGAGGTCTCGGAGGCTGTGCTCTGACATGGTCCTCATTGCTATGCCCATACAAGTAAATCCATGTACACAAGACCATTCTTCTGTACTGAAGCAACCTGGCATTGAATGGTCTGCATCTCTACTGTTAAACTCTTGCCCTCTAAAACACGGTGGTCACATCCAAAGTGCAACAGCCTCTAGCCTATGCCTCTTCCTGAATTGCACCCAGGAATTACTTGGGAGATTGCTAGCTGGCCTTGGACACAGCCATCCCAGGGACCATTCTGGCAATTTAATAGTGGGGGCAGTTGATTTCCTGCTCCCGGGAACACTGTTTGACTTACTAACCTAGATGTAGTCATTGAATACCATTTAGAAGGGTGACTGAGACCACTGGCGCATGTAAATTGAGATACGGTGGAGATCAAAGGAATGGCAGGTAGTTACTGAGCTCAGATATTGATCAGTGAGTGGTGGTGGATTTGTGACATCCCTGCTTTTAGATGATAATATGGATTGCCACTGTATTATTTTAATTTTTTTTTTGAGTATTCATAGTTTTAATATTTTTTCTGCCTGTACATGCATGTTATAAATCTAAGGGAAAAATTTTCACTTTCAGTAAGTGTTTTTTTACTCAATGACTGATCCTACAAATATTATTTCCAGGGTATGTTCATACTGAATGGGTAGAAAAGTAGAAAAACATGTCCTTCAGTGTTTAGGGGAATGAATTGGCTATGCTTGCACTCTCAGTTCTCCTAGATACATCAAGGAGAGCTTTGATTGCAAAAGACAAGCAGAATCTGGACCAGTACATGTGTAACAAATTATTTAGTCATCAGCACTTTGCTTGGCAAATAGATGGCTGCTAAATATAATAGTTGTTACTGTCTTCCCCTCAATTGCACAGTAGTTCTACAATGAGTACCAGAGATGCATTAGTACAGCAATTGAAAGTTTCAACCACAACATTCTTCTCAAAGGTATCACTGCTAGAAACCCCAGGGTCATTAAGTGGAAGGGAACAAGAACTTATTCCACTACATGAACTGCAAACTATTTCTGAACTAAAAATGTGCAAAAGTTGTCAAAAAAGTAGCTGCTGTGAATCTCACCATACATAAAGTGTTGTCACTGGATCACTTCTTGGCTGAGTAGTTCAGGCTGTTGCTCGAAAAATATTTTACTTCTGAAAATCAGAGTGAAAGAAGAAGTCTCTACTGATGAAGGGAATTTATCATTAGCTTCAGTATCATCTTTCATTTTACTCAGTATTTTTTTTGGTTTACATTTACTGACAGTTTAGGTAAAATATTTTACAACCTGATGACAAACTATGACACATGATCTCATGAAAAAGTTGATGTTCATCAGTGTATTGAAGAGATTCACAGATAATGTGTGGGATTTGTTTGGTCCTGAATTTACTGGATTTGATCCTACTCAACAAATGTAATTTCTGTTTCTATAAATGTCAATATACACTGCAATATATTTTTTCCGGTAAATCAGAAGTAAGAAGCAATATGTTAATACTGCTCAAAGTGTCAATATTAAGTCATCTAGAGCTATAAAGTGTGCTCTTTTTACCTCTCAGTCAACTTGTGTTCCGTATTTTTGTTATGAAGAGAGAATGTAGTATACTACCAGCAAAATAGTTTCTTAGGGCATCCTGTGGGTCACACTTTGTTCTGCTGTGATCCTGATGCATCAAGCACAGTTTATTTACTGATAAAATGATGGAATGGCATATTTAGGCATTTGCATGGAGTTTACATGAAATGGTCCAACCCATATTAAAGTGGGAACTTTCTAGATAGAGTTTCACTGTATCAATACTTCCTGCTAGTAAACAAGAAAATTAATATTTTCAAAACTGTAAAAGTCAATAAATTTCTGAATTCCTTAGAAATTACAGATTAGGGTGCTAGAGATGGTATGGTAACTATTTGTAACTCTTAGTTTGTAATTTGTGTGGATTTACTGCTTGAATTTTTACATACAGTTAATGATAAGAGTTCTTAGCAAATGTAACTGAAACTTTTATAATCTAGGTCAAACACTGATATTCTACCAGTGCCTTTTTACTGTTCTCATTTTCCATCTTTATTTAATAACATGAATGCCTTTTGATTCAGTAGGAGGGGATCTGCCCAAAATCCTTTAGAGAACCAAAAGAGTACTAATGTTCCATGGATGCCAAAAGAAGTTGTACCTAAATGTCTATAATAATTCTAAGCAAAGACTTTAGGATTTGTGCCATACTTACTTTCATTTACATTCCTCTCTTCAGACTATCAGAATGTCTTGATTATTTTCCTTCCCTGGTTGAGAGACATCACCTTTTATTTCTCTGAAGGCAAAAAAAAATTGTGTTGAAGTAATTTTAAACAAAGTAAAAGAGCTCTTTTGTCCTGTTAAGAAGTTCTAACTGAACTTCTTTGGTTACAGCTATGGGAAAACTTGGCTGAAGTTTGAGAATTGAGATGCCACTACTGAATTGACTAGACAGCTATAACAGTTGCATTTGACTGAAAGATCACTTCTGAAAATACTCACTGGACATCTGTCAAGAAGCATCTCCTCACTCATGATCTCACACAGGAAATGGAAAGGGCATATATTATGTATCTGATGAGTTTGATAAGCTGAGACTGAAAAAGCAATTGTATAAAGAAGACTGCAAATGCCTCATTGCTATGTTCAGAACAAATTTTTCCCCAAAATTGTTGCCTTATCCTGAGGGAAAGGATGGAAAATTCTGCAGGAGCTAAATGCAGTTAGTCACATGATGGGCTACACAGTGAACATTTTGAAAGGTCAGTATGCACAAGAAGAAGTGTGGTTATAATATCACCTTGGCCTCATTGTTCTGCCTGTGTATTCTGTGAGGGCAATGTGTGCAGAACACGGGTACAAACACATACCACAAAATCCACACTGCAGTGGAAGAGGGAGTGGTAATGCCTTGTTTTCAGTTGCAGTTGCTCCATGTTTACAATGCACTTTTTTTCAAAATTTCATTTGTAGGGAACAGATTTACTCATTTTTTTTTCTTTTGTGACATTTTTTGTTTGATTTTGAATTCTACAGGCCACTGATTCACTACAGAAGTTCAGTATCTCAATTACTCTGTGCATTTAATAGTTCCAGTTCCCAAAATTAACTAGCCAGTGATGCAACCAGTAAGTTCCAGCCCGAGAAGCCACTGTCACAGGTACAATACAATCAAATGACTTTGCCCTCAGCTTTAGATCCCGAGGCTTGAAAATCTTGAATAGCTGTACCAATCTGTTTTATAATGAGTAGTTTGTAAAAAACTTTGGCTTGTGAAAAGCAAAGGTTTCATACACATTTTATTTTCATTGGAAATTATTATGAATTTGTGACTGCCCTGTACTTGATTGTGTGTTTGGCTGAACACTGCAGCCTATCAAACAAAAAGAGACCTCTGTAGTCAGTGGCAGCTTTCATGATCTTCTAAGAGGCAATGCTCTGTTGAGGGGAAACCACAAAGGTAATCCTCCCTGCGTTCCACAGCTGTTGTTCTGAAGGAAATGAGTGCATCTTGTGGGTACTACGAATTATAAAGATAAACACGGACAACCACAAAAAAGCATTAAAAATTAAATGCAGCCTGACTCCTGTTTCATTTTCCTTTTGGAGGTACACAGCTCACTGTCTGTGTCGGTGTTACCTAACCACAAATAGCCTTCTCATCTTCCACAAGCTGCACTGCTGTCAAATGATAGTGATGACCCAGCCACTCTGTCTAAAGATGTCAGGGGAAGAGAAAAACCAGACTACTTCAAGTGACACAATGAATATTCCTTTCCTGTTACAAATTCCACATTAAATCTAAGTAATTACTTGGCTGCAGTGATACTTAGTCTACAGGACAATGCATTTACAGGCATTTAGGAGCAGCAGTTTACAATAATACTTGCATATGGCTTTGATATCTCATGTTGTTAAAACAAATCAGCAAGTCTAGACTGTAATTTGCTGAAGCAATTTATGGTTATTTCATGGCTTTTTTCTCTAAGTAGAGACGAATACATTTGACTGTCCTAAGAGGAAGGATAGTAATGCACGTTCTTTTCATTTTAACTGTAAGACTGATCTGAAACAGAAGCATTAACATCCTGATTTTCATACCACATAAAAACTGCCCTAAACTATTAGTGCTTTATTCCACTACGATGTTCAAATATTTTGCAAACTGCTGATTAATCATGAAATAAGCACTGCAAGTTGGTCAACATTGCTGCAGCCGTTTCTTCACAAATTAGTAAATTGAGACTGTCAATACAGTAAGTCAGTAGCAGCGCAGAGAGCAAGGACCCATCTGGGAAACCCTCAGCTGCCTTATATTGTTATTGAAGTCACTGAAGCATAACAGCTGACAGTAGTTGAAGGATCCCCTTAGCTCTTCACTCCTGGGCTCCTGCTCCAGTAGCAAGGCAAAACAAATGAGTTTTGTACTTCTGGAAGAATTGCTTTATGACAGACTTTCCAATACTTTTCTTCTAGGTGAGCAGATGCTTGCAGGTATTTTTCCCATCTTATTGCAAGACTCACGCAGCATCAAAGTCTGTATAACACAAGAAGACACCATGCTTGTTCTGCTTAGATGTGATTGCACTTATGAAGAATGTAACACGATATACAGCTAAATAAACAAAAAATGGGCTGTCCAGAGCTAAGAAATACTTTCCCAGTGAGAGTTTGATTTCCTTGTACCGTTCAGCCAGGAAAACGAGTCCCCAGTCCCACAGGGCTGGTGCCTGACTCCCTGCTGGGATGCACCCTGAGGCCGAGTCCCTGCAGGGATGAAACTGTTTCCAGATCAAAGACCGAGAGGGGCTCTGAGATTTGCAGTGAACCTTCACAGAGACATCTCACACTTTGAAGCTGTCTGTCCTCCAAAAAGGGACAATGTGGACTATAGCTTTGGGGCACTCATCAGCAAATGACTACACTTGGCACTGGCAGAACAGAAGATGGATTTATATGAACTAGTCATTTGCTGATTAGTAACCAGAAGAAAAATTGGGCTGTATTATTTTCATAAAGTTTTGTAAAAAAAGGCAGCAACTTAGCCAACAGAGACTTTTTCATTTGCGTGGACTGCAATGCTTTCCAAAACTAATCAGTTAGTATAATGATCCTCATGGACTTGATGGAGCCTTGTACTGTACTACGTTCTTTTTTTCTTTATTTTTTAAATGCTTATGTGGATGTATATGAATTACATTTTAAGAACTACTGTTTAGAATATTTTTTTTTTGGTGTACTGTTACTGTCATGCTACTGACAGAAAGACTTTGAAAAACCAAATGCCTTTATTTTTCCTAGAAATAATCAGATTTTGAATTTACAAGTAAGTATGTCTTTTCATTAAGAAGGTAGAATGGCCGTCATCCTCTATTGGTACAAACTGGCATAACTCCTCTAATGTTAATGATTTGCCACACTACCTTGTTTTCATTGAAAGTGGAGGTATGTTATGAAAGACATAACCATATACTCATTGCTTGTTGACCTTAACTAATACCCAAGCTCCTGGATGTCCATTTCACCTTTGCCATTGGCTCCTAATTTCTATGCTTCAGACAGGCATTAATACATATTGTGGTAGAAGATGAAAGAGTTGTTGTTTTACAGAGCCCTACGTGAGGGTCTCACAGCACTGTACAGAGCGTATAACTAATCGAGCCTTTGAACCTTCCAGGACTTGGGAGAAAGAAGTTGGATTGGACTTCTGTTCCAAATAGGCTGTAGTTTGTAACAAGCCACCTCATTTCAAATTATTGCTCTTCTGATATTATTACACTTTGGGCTGTGTTTGGTTTTACTTACTTTGTGCTGCCCATATGGACTGCAGTTTTTCTGTAACTTAATCCTTCAAACATCAGTTCTAAGAAAGGATCCTCCTTCATGTAAAAGAGCTGTGCGTGTTTATCAAAGTTATCAAGAATCAGACTTGAGCTTCTACAGGCTGGCACTTAGAATTCTCTAAATGGGTAAAAAAGCCTGTTTTGATTATCTAAAAAGGCTGTAGAAAGACAGTCATGAAACTGTGTGATTGTATTGGTGTAATCTACAAATAATAGATGAGTATTTGTCCCTTATTGTTCAGAGAGATGTGCCAGGTTATTAAAATAACAAATCATAAGGGAAAAATGTCCTGGGGCTCACACTGGTGTTTGTAGGAGGCCTCTGCCCATATAAGATGTTTTTGAAATTTCAATGTGCCATTCCAGGATGTGTGTCATGGCCTCTTCTGAGAAGCATGAAGTCACTTGGCCTTTGGCCTTGTGACTTCCAGCACACCCCAGCAAAGGATATCTCATCAGGAGCCATAGCCTGTAATGTCTTCTTCTTTAATTACCGTTCTAGCTGTGCCAAACTATATTAACCCTTACTCGGCACATATGCTCCCGTGCTCCCTGAGATGACTGTGGTCAGGTAATCTTGGAAAAGGCTCACTGCAGTATCTGTCTGTTGTAACAGGTAATCCCAGCAAGAGTGACCTCAGTCTCTCCAGTAAATAGTTCATGCACAGCATCTGATTTATTGTTTTGCTTTTCAACACCTTTTCTACAACACAGAAAGTTTTAAAATGGGATAAATATCAACCAAATGCAAAGTCCCTACAGTCAAATCAGACACAAGCCTCTCATACTCCTTTTCTCCTATGACTTCTGTGAACAGTTTGCTCTTGAGTGCAGGATGACGACGCTGGAATTTTACTGTGACACCACAACCACTGACAGTCTGATCAGACCAAAGCTGTTACTGTCACAGACAGGGTAGCTTAGCAGACATATGCATTTAACTACGGGTTTAGCAGACATATGCCTTTAACCCTTTTGAGCTCTGTGCCAGATGGGAAGGTACAATGAGTCTTTCAGTGCCATCACACTAGTGTCCTCCAAGCAAGCACTCACATTTCCCTGTATATGACAGTCACTGTATATGGCAAGAAGCACTGTATTTACACAACTATTTCTAAATAGAAATGTGTACAGCATTACATTTTACTTTAAGTGACACTGATGTAGACACAGGGCAACTACAGTGAAATTAATTTCCTCCTCATCTTCACCAATGTGAAAACTTGACTAGCCTGTCCTTTTTATCAGAACCTTTACCTTTCATCCAGCAATTCAGCCATTGTTCCAGATGAAATGACGTTTGACTAATGACAGGAAACCAGTGTCAGGAAAAAAAAGCATATAACATACCACATACAATACACATAGCAATCAATTAAGACTAAGACATTATGGCACCTGCACTATTTATCACTGCTTAAAACCTATATAGA